GTGTGTCAAGTTATTCCAGGATTGTTATTATAAATTGGGTAACGTTCCAACAGGCGTGCTCGAGAGAATTAATTTGTTGGATCCATGGCGTTTTCTCAAAAATAGTAAATCACTTGAGTGCAACGAATGAGGAAATTTAAAAATGTGTAGGCGGTACGACAGTCTTCAAGAAACGGTGTACAAACAAGAAATCAACAGGATAGAATCATTAGTACAAAGCAAACAAGGAAGTGAATTGAAAAGAATTTCTTATAAACGAGGTGAAAACTGAAGAGCTACGAGTTACTTTTGCAAGACCTGAGCGTCAGTTTAAATCCAAAACCCATATACGTTTAATTAAGCTCCTGATAAGCCGAAAGATGTTGTTTTCAACGCAGAAATATATGGTGTGAAAATCGTGCTGAATTTTAAAACAAATACACCGTTTCGCTAATTATGAAGAAAGTTTCAAGAATGCTTTTCTTCCTTTGCCAACTGAAACAGGTAAAGTCCACCCAAACGTTTTACACGCATTTTACATAACTTGCATACGTCCTGTGATAAAGTGATTGAATGTGTTCTGTGTTTTACGACTCCTTACATCATTAACAAACGAATATCTAGAAAATTTGCAGAAACGACCCTCTTCCAGATTATTCATTAAATAATTTCGTACACAGATGTTCTAGATATAGCGGGCGTTGATACTTCGTTCAACGGAAGTAGTAATAGTAACGTCACCGTAAATGAACCGATCGTATGTACTGATAACTGACGATGTGAGTATGGCATCGAGTTGGCTATCCTTGATGGTATCTCATTGTTAGGGCTTTTTGGAATAATGGCAGTACACTCGCCATACACTGTTCCTTTTGCGCTTCTTCGAAGGGATAAAGTTCGCACCCTATTGATCGAAATATGAATAATATGAACATAATCAGAGGCTGCGGAAGCAATTTGAAAGTGAAGGGGTATTGGCAAAAAGGGTAATATTTGTATGTGACCATTTTGACAGATAGTTGATTTAGTTTAACCAAATGTTGTGTAGAAAGTGATGTCTAAACCTTTCAATACGCGTAAGTCGACGAGTTTTGCTGCATATGTTTACCATAAACTTCGTCAGCTCTCTTTCTGAAAGCCATAAATGATCAAAATTTCAATAAATGTTTGACTATTTTGAGATTTTCAAAGCCCATCGTGGCAAGCTTGCAATTGTCCGATCAGCAGATATAGCAACCAATCAGAAACATTTTGTATTTTGCTTCCGTTACGGGAAATTCCAATTCATTTGGACGAAAAAATCGTATTTTGATAAAATTGTATATTATAAATATAAAAGAATTTTTTTCTTGATGTGGCGTGCGTAATCGAATTATCATGGTTAATAGAAAATAAACATGGTTTGGAAGCTCGACAAAAGTCATTGTTTGATGTTGTTGTTTGGGTTGATGCACTTTCACGGTTAGTGAACGTATTGTATTTTCAGGATAATGAAGCAATCATCCAATAGCAACGTTTGGGTCCAGTCGTTCAGGCATACATTTAATATTAATGAACCTAAGACAAACGAATTGTGCACCTTCATGTCCTTTCCAACATAAATTGTATAACCATTGTTAATCACTTTGAATTCTGCCGGCTTTCCAAACCATATTTGTTTTCTATTAACTTTGGAATTATTGAGCACTTGGGAAGTTGGAAGAATAGGAAAGAGCGTAAGAGTCGATTGAGGCGCTAGCCGATATATATAAACTCTAGCGCTTGAGTTCTCTCCTATCTTCCCAAGTACTCCACATGCAACTTGATTGAGTATATCATAATGAAAATGTGTCATTACTACTTTTTATTCTTCACCCTGAATGATTGGTATAATAATTGTTTAGATATTGATGAATGCTTAACATCCGTATGTGGTAATGAAACCTTTAATAACTGTACAAATTTCCCTGGCTTTTACAAATGTGCATGCGGAAAAGGATATGTTGGAAACGAAAAGGCGTGTGGTGGTATGTAATACAGCAGTTCTGTATTTATCATGCAATTTTATCATATGTATATTTATCGTCGCATACTAATTTACGACAGGATATATGCCATGCGCGCGATTAACAACATACCCAGAGAATCATGGGTTACGATTTGGTAGGTACGGACAACATACTTTGTTCCAAGATCAAGACAACAAAACAGAGCAATTTTTATTGAAAAGGTGTAAGAACAAAGTTTATCGGAATTCTTAGAACTAATTAACGCAGAATTTCAATGCAGAAGGTTTTGATGAAAACGTAGCTAAAAACAAGGCATTCTTACTTATCCCGCCAAAACTTCGTAAAGATTTGCAGAATATATATGTATGGGAACGTCTACTATGGATAAGACAACTAATGAAGGATCCAGTACGCAAAAAAGATTATGGAACGCCTGAACATGCCCACAACTGCCCGTAATAATATCCATTTATATCCATTAGGATCCTATTGGTTATACAAATTCGTATTGCTTTAATCCCTCTTAATTACCTCAACCTTTGTGATTTACGCGTGGGAATTACCCGACAACGCTACCATCAGAATACTTGTATTTTTACCGCATTTATTTCTATCAATAAAAAAACTATATATTCTGAAAATATGCTTATAAAACCATCGTTTTTATTTCGTTTAATGTAACATAAACAGTGTGCTATATCTTTGAGAAACTTTTATTTATTTATTTATTTATTCATTTTGTCACACACATTAAAGATATACATTTACGTAGAGATAACAATAACAATAACTAGAGAATGCTGCGACAGGAGAAGAAAACAGAAACTAAATTCCAATTGACATTCGACCCCTTAACAATTAATGGATAACGAGACGTACTAGGACAATTATGCACGAACATATCACAGATTACATGGAACTTAACATATAGGATACTGTACAACGAATTATAGAACAAGATTAACTATGGTGGTATGTAGGTAAACAGTTTGGCTTTGTAATAAGATTGTAGATGGTGCTTGAAGATCTGTAGGGAATGGGCGGCTTTGATGTTCGGTGGTAGATTGTTCCAGAGAATGACAGTGCGTGGGAAATAGGATTGTCGGAAGAATTCTTGATTATTGGAGACGATTATGTTATAGTTGTTAGGGTCGAAGTTGCGTGTGGCATAGGGGTTAGTTGCAGGTGTAAGGTATTGGTTAAAGGTGACATTAATAAGGTTGTATTTGATTTTGTATAATAGTGTTAGGTCATAAAGTTCACGCCTGTGTTCAAGTGGGAGAAAGTTTAAGGATATTAGTCTGTCTCTGTAGGTAACATCACGAGGAGGGTAGTTCAGAATGAATTTCGTTGCTCTGCGTTGAACGTTCTTCATTAATTTACGTTGTTTAGCCGAGTAAGGTGACCACACACACGACGCGTACTCAAGCTTAGGTCGTACAACAGCACAATAGAGAAGCTTCCGCGTATTGGCATCCACAACGTCTCTAGCACCCCCCCGCTTAATTAGAACAAGGGTTTTATTGGCCTTGGTGCATATGTCTTCAATATGATTAGCCCAGGAGAGGTCTTTGGATACGATGACACCCAGGTCAGAGATGTGCGTCACACTTTTCAGGGGCTTGTCGTTCAGGTGGTATTGGAGTGAAGCAGAGGAGCAGACCTTTTTCCGAGACATGTGCATCACTTTGCACTTGGAGGGGTTGAACGTCATGCCCCAGTCATTACTCCAATTATGAAGGCCTGAAAGGTCCGATTGCAACAGATGGTGAGATGCCGAGTTTATGGGCCTATATAGTTTAGAGTCATCCGCAAATAATGCAATACTCGAGCCCTGCCCTACGTATTGTGGCATGTCGTTAATGTATACTATGAACAAGAGGGGTCCTAGGATGGATCCCTGTGGGACTCCAGAGGTCACGGGGAGCCAATCTGAGAGGGTCCCATCTAAGGCAACGCGCTGATATCTGTCACTTAAGTAACTGCGAAACCACTGAAGAAGCGAGCCTGATATGCCATATTGCTCAAACTTGTTCAGAAGCATGTGATGTTGAACACGATCAAAGGCCTTGGACAGGTCTAGGTGGATTGTATCAACTTCTTTCCCATCAGCTAAGTGATCTAGGATTTCTTGGTAGACGTGGAGTAGTTGAGTTACCGTAGATTTACCCCTTAAGAAACCATGCTGTAGGTGGTAGAAACGTGGTGATAGATGTGGATAGCAGTGGTTATATACACAGCGTTCAAACGTTTTTGAGATGATAGATAATAGGGATATGGGTCTATAGTTAGAAGCGAGCGTTGAATCGTCTTTTTTGAACACAGGTGTAATGTTTGCGAGCTTCCAACAAGCAGGAACTACACCCTGGGATAAAGAAAGATTGTATATATAACAGAGAGATGGTGCGATTATCTTAGCCGTCATCTTGAGAAGTTTTCCAGGTATCCCATCAGGTCCGCATGCTTTGCTTGCATCCAAACCGTCAAGAGCTTTAAAGACTTCGTTTTCTGTTAGTTGTAAGTTGGATAAGGCTGTGTCGGAGGAGAATGGGAGATTAGATGTGCGTGTTGTAGTGGTAGCTTGAACAGGACTAAAGACTGAGTGGAAAAAGGAGTTCAGTAGGTTAGCCTTGTCACGGCTGTCAATAATAAAAAACTGATTATCTCGAAGGAAGTTCGCGGTGATTTTGACCCACCTAGAGGATTTTACGAAAGACAAGAACCGTTTCGGGTTTTCACACACACACACATACTTTATTGTGTTCCCTAAATAGGGATTTTCAACACTGATTTACAAAAATAAATGTTGTTCTATTTACAAGTTTTAGAATCTAGAATTTAAATTAAGGTAAAAAGGTAAAAAGGTAAGACATTTGTATAAAGTTTAACAAGGTGAAATTATCTACTTATATATTTGTTCTAGCATGCTTCGCTTCAGTTCGTTTTTGAAAGTTTTTAGGGAGTCTAACTTTTTGTACTTTATGTCCAAATCATTCCAGAGTGTAACGCCTCTATAATGAAAGGACCTTTGACCTGCAGAAGTTTTGTACAATGGTATTTGCAGTGAGTCATGGCTACGTGCATCTCGTTGATGAATGTCAGAACGTTTTGTGAATAAATCGCTCAAATAATGTGGAGCAAGTTCATTGACACATTTGTACATCATAATAGCCTCTCTTAGTAGTAATTGTTCCTTTACTGGGAGCCAGTTAAGTTCACGTAAGCCCGGCGAAATATGGTCGAACTTTCCAATATTTGTTATTATCCTGCATGCAAAATTTTGTACCAACTGTAGTTTCTTAATGTTGGTAGACGAAGTGTTTGACCAAACCGTTGAAACATAGAACATTTTGTTCATTACGAGTGCCGAGACGATGAGAGTTAAAGCTTCTTTATCGAAACATTTTTTGACTCGGCTTATTTGGCACAGGGAATTCATACATGAGGAAACCAGGATGGTGATATGCTGGTCATATGTCAAATAAGAGTCGATTGTCATTCCTAGATCTTTGGCAAAGGAGACGGGGGTAATAGTCTCGTTGAGGAAGTTTATGGTCATATCTACGGGAAGTTGTTGTAGATTTTGCCGTGTGCCAATCAGCATGTATTTGGTCTTTCCCGGGTTAATAAGCAATTCATTTTCGGAACAACTGTTTGCAATCAAATACAAGTCTTCCTCAAGTTGTTGCTTTAAACAGTCCACGTTAGCCACAGTGAAAGATAGTAATATCTTGGAGTCGTCCACGTACGATTCAAGTTTACTATGGTGGACTGATGAGGGCAAATCGTTAGTATAAATACTAAAAAGTAAAGGTGATAAAATTGTACCCAGGGAGAAAAAAAAAAAAAACAGGGAGAGGAGTAGACACAGTTGATCCAATTCTGACTGATTGAGTTCTTCCGGTCAAGTAACTCTCAAACCATTTTACAACGCTTGGAGAAGCCCCGACGTTGCTAAGTTTTGTAAGGAGAAAATTATGATTTACACTGTCGAAAGCTTTAGATAGATCTATTAGAATCAGTGCAGTAACCAATTTCCCATCCATGGCGGTCAAAAGATTCAATGTTTCGCATGAGTGATGTTTCTTGTTCCCGCTCTGGTGGGTTGACAATTTTTTGTTCTTCATTAGATACGAACCAAATTGATTCAAGGCGACTTTTTCACAAATTTTCGAAAGAAAGGTAAGGAGAGAAAGTGGGCGGTTATTTGATGCTTCCTCGTGGTTTCCATCCTTTAACAAAGGGATAACTTCTGCCTCTTTCCATGCTATAGGGAACGAGGATGACGACAGTGAACAGTTAATGATATCGGTGAGGGGCCCAAGAATTACCGGTAGGCTGTGTTTGATGACACGCATACTCACTTTGTCTTTGCCGGGTGATTTGTTTGACGGCATAGCTAATATGATGTTCCTTATTTCTGAACAAGAGACTGGGGTGAAACTAAATCTATAATTTTCTTCAGGGTAGCTGTTATCTGTGCGATTTACGTCAGAAAGATTCCGAGCTAGATAAACACTAGGATCTTGTATTAGTGTTGAGGCTTTCTTTGCAGCATTCACACCAATGGTGGAAAAGAAATGATTAAACTCTTCGGCCACTAATTTCGGTTCCTTACTGTAGACCACCGACTCTCTTTCCCTATACGCTATATTTTCTTTAATTACCTTCCAAAGT